CAGTCCAGGCTGGATGGGGCTCGGGGCGGCCTGATCTAGTGGGGGATGTCCCTGCCCATGGCAGGGGGTTGGAACTGGATCATCTTTAAGGTCCCTTCCAACCCTGGCAATTCTATGAAACGAGGGGAAAAATGTTTAAAATATGACAAAATATTAATCAGTGATCTGTTAAAACTTATTAAGACTTGCCTATCTAATTACTAGAATTAGATTTTTGGGTAATTGCTATTACTTCTTCATTTCTTTCAGCGTGCAAAGTTGGGGGATTAACTTTTTATCAGTATAAAATTAAATCTTCATACACAGTGTCTGCACTCTACCAGGTAGCTCTGTGAGTGTCTAGGAACATACATGTAACATCATAAAAATTAAAAGGGTAAAAAAAAATGTTTATGCTGCAACATAATAACTATAGAGGGCCACGTTTTCAGTTATAAAAGGCTTTCATCTAGAAACGTAGATAAAAGCTTAGGACTTTTTTCTGCACAAATGCTAATATCTACAACAAATACATCCATTTATATGAACGAATGTTACATAGCTGTTGAGTAAGAAAAGCTCAATCTTCTACTGAAAACACACACTTTCTGGAAAATTGTAATGACAGTTCTTCAGGTACCCCTGGAATTCTGCTGTTTAACTTGTTTTTATACCACTGCAGTTCTGTGCGAGTACCGAATCTGCCGAAGGTGCCTCGGACTGGCGAGGAGAACTTCTGCGTGCTGTTCAGCAGCTTTTTGTGAGAGAACAAAATGTTCTTCTTGCTGCCTTTCAAACTGACCTTGCAGAACTGGGCACAAGGGATGCAGTGATATTGATGAATCAGTTAGAGCACAGACTGCAAGAGCAGGTAATAAAAAACATACTTCAGTTGAAGCATGTTTGTCTACATCAGGTTTTAATTTTGAATGTATAAATCTATTTAAAAATATTTGTATTAATAGCGGTTCTGACAGTCTGGGGGTGAAAAGAAGTGAGACTTGTAGGAAGGTGTCTTGAGAAAAACTGGGGTGGTGTGGAAAAGAGTTTTTTTGGGTGCACAAGCTGTAGAAAAAATAGAGCCTTCAAAGATTAATTTGCACTAAGTATGATTGTCCTGAGCTTGATTTCATTAAGTTATAGAATTATGTTACACTCTCAGTTTGTACATATGGACCAAGTTGTAAGAAGAGAAGGTGATAAGGCTGCCGTGGGACAGAGAGAGGTCAGTTATCTCCTCTGAAACACGGAAGGGTTAGTGAGGAAAATTAAAATCTGCTATAAAACTGATAGCTCTTTTCATTCTCTAATTAGAGGAATAAAAAAATAACAAGCAGTTCTCAATATTTTGATATTGACATATGTGTGCATTGAATTTAGTGAATTAAATATATGTGCACTATGAATATGTAAGCAAATGTAATATCCACATTGCAGATATTCTAATAAAATCTGGAATTTTACTTTTAAATGTTTCTGATGCTAATAGGCTACTAACCAGAGAGCAGCGATGGACTGTCTTCAGAATGCAGACAGAAGTAGTTTGCTGATGGAGATTCAAGTATTACATGCTCAGATGAACAGTAAGAAAAATAATCCAAAGAGAGAACAAGAGATCGGTTCAAAAAGCCAAGGTGACTTCTGTGGTAATCTGTGTTTGTTTCCAGATGCTTTCCTGGCAGTGCTCCTGATGTTGTGGGTGAAAAAATACTGATTTTCTTTGCTCTCTGATTTTGATATTCATGGTCTGAGCATGCGTATTTTTCATCTTTTTCCATCTTGTTGGACTAATTTTGCAAGAAAATAAGATATAGTATCTGTTCTTGTGACTCGTATCAAAATGAAAGTCAAACAAAGTTACTTGAATTGATATAAAGATCAAGCTTGTATTTTAAGGTTGTTTTCCCTGTATGTGCTTGTGTTTAGGTTCAACAGCTATGAAATTGTCTGAATTGGAGAGTTAGTCAGAATGAGTAGACTAAGAAGCAATTAGAATGACAACGGAAAGTTTAGAGAAGAGGTGTACTTTAAGTAAATGCTCAGTGACAGTGTTCTATCACAAAAATTGCATCACAGATACACACCCATGCCTACCTTCAGTTATATTAACCATAATCCAAATGATACATATTGGTATGGTTGCACATGGAGCCTTTTAAAGAAATTTAAGAGTTGAAGTGATTTCTTGGGAAGTATGATGAAAGGTATTCCAGTATAAATGGATTTGCTTTCACTCCACTTTTGAAAGAATGTATTATTTGAAGACATAGCTCTTAGTCGTAGCCTTGCGGTCATTTTCTGTGCTAGGGGAAGCTTCACCTGAATAGACAGTGTTGTTTTTGCACCAAGTAATTTCCATATTAATGGTGCTCTCATTAGAAATGCTGGAGTATAATGTGCAGCAGAAGCAGTTGCAGATACTAGAGATGCAAGTGGAGCTCCGGAGTACGAAGGACAGAGCAGCTGAGCTTCAGGAACAGCTGAATTCAGAGAGAATGACGGGTGCTGAGCTGAAGAATGAACTGGCACAAGCCAAGCTGGAGCTTGAAGCAACCCTTAAAGCACAGCACAAGCACTTCAAGGACCTGGAAACCATCAGGTGTGGCTTTCAGTGCCAAACTTTCTACGCTGGCAGTGAGGATATCTTTTTTACCTTGTCTCAAATCTTAAAAAGTTGATCTCGTGTAATGTAAATGCTTCTCATCCTTTCCGTGAAACATATCTGCTCCATTTGGCAAAAATGTAGTTCCATAGATTAAGATCTGATTCATAGTTTAATTTAATGATTTCTTAATATCGAGTTTCTTTTTTAAATTATGACCCATTAGACTGTTGTATACAAGGTAATAAGTATACTGTATTTAATAAGTTTTTTCTGCTTCTAAAACTGAACACAGAGAAAAAATTTGCAGAGTCGAGATGACTGTGCAAGTACTTCGATAGGAAATTCTGTTGCTTTGGCATGGTCAACAGCACAGGTAACAGACCAAATATTTGGCAGTCAAAAAGGCCATTAATACATGTGTCCATGTGTGGTATCTTAATGTTCAGCTCAGAGATAAGAGATAAAGACAGAGTTTAAATTGGTATTACTTTGTAGATTACCTTACACCCTTTACAGACCTTCAGGAGCAAGATGCTTTCACAAATTGATGCAAAATTGATTTGTAAAAGAATCGAAATTTGGAGCATAGTTCCCCCCCGCAATAGGTTTGGGGGTTTTGTTTGTTTTTTTTTCTCTCTGAGACGCATAGCAGCAAGATGTATTCCCCTGGATTCTTTCAGACTTTGGCCAGGGATGGCATAAAGTTGAACACTAGCTGCCCCAGAGTCACCATTTAACGAATAATGACAGCTACAAAGTTAGCAGGATGGACACACTTCCTGTCCTTTTTAAGCTATGCAACTCTTAATTTTTGAGTTAGGCTTGTTTTTCTAAATAGACTTTTCACTATTACTGTACTACATGAGCAGTGTTCTCAGTGCACTAGATGGAATAAATAGCAAGCAACTGATTTTACTGTGATAGGATTAGAGCCACTGTCTAACCTAAAGGTTGCCCATTTCTCTTTTAGGACTGAAGTTAGAGAAAAAGCTGCTGAGCTAGATGTTCTCAAGGATACAATGGTCAGCGAACAGAAAAAATCAAGAGAGCTGCAGTGGGCTTTGGAAAAGGAAAGAGCTAAAATGGAGCGCAGCGAGGAAAGAGGAAGAGAAGAGCTTGAGGTATTTCATAATCCCAAATAACCTGGAACGTCAGGGAGCACACAGATACTCTTTTGCTGTACTCCGTTTTTTGTCTTCTTCAGCAGCAGTATTGTTGTCTAGAGCTGAAGAAAGATGTGTAGATGCTATGTGGCAAAGAGAGAAAAAGGCCTGATGTAAATTCGATTTAAATCAGTAGGAATTTTACAACTGTGCTTTTCAGGGCTGAGATTGTACTTGGTACAATAGACAGGACGCTGCTAACATGGCTACACCACAGCCACACCACAACTGAACTCGTAAAAGATAATTATATATTAATATTATTTAAGGAGGTGCGTTGTTTGTCTTCATTTTAAAAACATTTTAAAATTAGGGAGTTTATTTTGGGAGAATTTAAACCTTCCTTGGTACCTCTGCAGTGTCTGATATAGTGAGGGAGAGAGCAGGCTTCCTGGTACCAGCATTAAGACAAAAAGCAATCCCTTTAACAGCACAGATTTATTTAGATCTTGAATTCTTGACATGCCAAATCACTTTTACAGTTTTAGAAAGTAAAAGGAGCTAGTCGTCTTCAACTTCAGAACTATGGCTGTTTGTGTCTCATTACAAATATACTCTTAGGACATGATCTGATTTTAAAAGAAAGACACCTGCAATATATTTTAATACGATATGCAACTTCAGCATTCAGAGTATTATCATATTAATTGTGAAGAGCAAGACCTTTTGAGAGCAACGTGTAGAGGTAGCATATTTGCAATTAGCAGAAAATAATGGAAAGCAGACACAGATGGCTTTAATCGGTTCTTTTCTCCTATTTTCTTATGGAAGGATTTAAAAATTTCACTTGAAGATCAAAAACAAAAGAATGTGCAGTTAACTAAGCTTTTGGAGCAAGAGAAACAGCTGTCAACCGATCTGCAACAGAAAATTGAATCCCAAGAAGCCCTCAGTGCTGCCCAGCTGTCACGTGAGCGAGGCCGTAATTCTGAGTTGCAGGTGCTTCTTGAATCAGAGAAGGTTCGAGCTCTTGAAATAAGCAGTGCCCTCGAAAGGGAAAAAGAGCTGTGTGCTCAGCTTCAAAGTGCTGAAGACAAGGGGCAAGCTGGAACACCTAATCCGTCTGAGGAATTACTTAAAGAGCTACAGAAACAAATGGATGAAAAGCATGACCGTATAGTGGAGTTAGTAAGTGAGATGGAGAAGTACAAACTGGAATCTGTGCAAGTGAGACAGCAAATGGAGAAAGAAAGGCAGATCCAGAGGAAAGCGTTACAGGCAGAACAAGATGCTAACATAATAGCACAGAAGAAACTCCATGAACTGGAGTCCAAGGTAGAAGACCTTCAGTGGCAACTTGGAGAAAAGAAGCAAGAAGTTCATAAATTAGGGAACGAAACAAAGAAGTTGCAGGAAATAATCCAAGACCTACAGAAAAAAGAGCAGGAGAATGAAGGAAGAAAGGAAGCGGCAAGGACACCAAGCCACAATCCCAATGAGGTACAGTAGGACCGAGAGCAATGTGTAACGCTGAACTGTGCAATCTGGCTTTTAATTACTTTGTTCGGTTAGCCTGGTGTGTCACTGTGCCTCTACTCAATCTATAAAACAACATGCAGATTGCAAAGTACAGGCATCAGAGAAAGGGGAAGGGAAAGTGTTCCAGTTTTGCTACCTAAAACTATTCATACACACCCTTTGAGAAGGCAACTGCAGAGGTGTGTAAGGAGGAGCGTGAGCAGGAGAGATGCATCTGAATACATTCCCCGCCCCCCCCACCTTGTGTCTCGGTGTAGCAGAGGAGTATTCCCTGCACCCAGTGACCTGTTCCTACTTAGGAATGCTCCAGGTCAGTGCTCTTAATCTTTATTTCATAAACCACAGGTGGTCTTTGAAAAATATAGGAGTGATCTCCAAACAATTTCAATATTTGAGTAAGTAATCAACAAGCACGTGCTGTGATTTTGTGAATGTGTGTATGTCGGCAAACAAAAGAGAAGTTAGGAGTCAAGGTAAAAAAGTAATAATTTAGCCTAATTTTAGATGAATGAAAGTTTAGGTGAATGAACGGCTGTTGACTGTAATTTTTCTCTCTCACATAAAGGTTTGTAAAGTTTTTAAATTATTTTAAACTACTTTTAGAACTCTTCAGAAACTTCCCCGTGAGAGATAAATGTTGCTGGGTGAGTGATTTGTGAATAGCCCAGAGAGGGCTGACGAGAGGCTCCGACTGCCCTTTTGCACACCGTGCCATCATTCCATGCTTCTTGGCAGCTGTCTGTCTGCGGAGCCAGGAAGGGACTTTTTCTCTTCATCTTATTTGGCTACTGGTTTTAATCTTCTGAAGCATTGGAAACCACTCACAGCTAAAGGCAGGGTGTTGATTGTGTTGTAAGTGCGATAGCGTCAGCCTTCCTGCCACGCGTGGTTTGTGCCCCTCGCTCCTCTGCTTGGGGGTGGCCGACGGCGCTGTGGTCAGTGAAGAGTCCTCCTTCGGGCGAGGTTGGCAGGGGCTGTCGGAGCTTCTTGCCCTCTGTGGCAGCAGCAGAGGGTAGGATCTGCTTCCCGGGATCAAATAACGAATCTCCTGGATCAAATAATGGATCCTTCCCGGGATCAAATAACGGATGTCCTGGGACATGTGCAACACCCGGCTTTTTTTCATTGGTACCACGCGGTGCTCAGATACCCGACTCGGGTTTCCTTGGGAGGGCTGGCAGATCGTCCGTGGCCGGTGCTGGGGAGGTGTTAGCGAGGGCAAGGAGCACACGCTTGGCACGTCGCTTCACTTGTGGCCACACCAGTGGTACGATTCCCTGTGACTGTGGGCTCTCCTCTGTGACCATAGTGGGCTTTTCCAGTCCTGTTCCTCTGACTGTGAACTGGTCACCAGGAAAACACGTGGGCACAAGTTCCGTGCACAACTGCTAAAGGAGCTGCTGGCGGAAGAAGCAGAAAGGGTTGGTGGCTTCTTGCCAGCCAGGTTTGTTGAATGGACTCACCTGCAGCTGTGTGATTGCTGGGTTGTAGTCAAGAGAGGCACCGTTCACATAGTTGAGCAGTACAGTACAGCACTAGCGTAGTCACACGAAACTTTTCTCTGTCAAAGTTGTTTGTTCTTCAGTTTCTGGGTGTGTTTCAGAATCCGATGTTTCCATTTTAAAGCACTGGACCACATGCATTCTCTCTCTCTATATATGGACGCACACACATATATTTATATATATAAATCCATATTTATGTACAGACTACCTGGGATACACCCAATGACAGAACAAGAAACTGGATTCTCCAGCAAAAAATGGAAGGAGCGGAGACAAATGAATCAACCTACCCCGCGCTGACGAGAGGAGGAGATCTCTCTGCTGCTACTGAAATTCTGGAAAGCGTCAGACAAAAGCTGCAAAATGCATCTCCAAAGCTGAAGCAGCTGGCTCGGAAAGCTGCTAGCAGGTTAGACCAGCCCTCAGCTACTTGGTTTTGTTAATAACAACCAGCAAGCTAATATATTGGGTTTTAATCCTAATTCACAGGTTGGAAGCTGAGTGATTTAGGGGTTGGTCTAGTGTTATGGGATATGCTGTTATTTTAGATATGCTGGTGTAAGACAGCATCACAGAGTGTCAAGTGCTGCTGTGAATCTGTTTAATATGCTTCTTTGTAAGTTACAGCAAAATTTGCTTCTTTTTTACCTCTGGAAGTTGATAAGGTTTATTCAGGTGTGCTGTAGGTAGATCATTTTAAAACAATTTAGTAATGAGATGAATCTTTGTATGAGGGGACAAATATAGGGATTATTGCTATGGAACATCCCTATTGCTTCCCCCAGAAGAAAATTAGTATTTTATGATCGAGTGAAAATGATTTTCATTCTTATTTTCTTGGGCTGCTATCTCCTTAAGAAAAAAAAGAATAGCATGGTACCAGGTACATGAGAGGTTTGAATCTCTTTCTACTTTGCTGTGATGGTGATTTAATAGTAAACGTTCATTCTGAAACATTTGGGAAAGTGGAATGCATTATATCTTGAAAATAGGCTAAGATTTTGCTCATGCAGATTCAACAAATTTGAGCAGAACCTTTTCAAACGTGCGTCACATAGAATGTATTTTTCTCAAAATTAGTGAAAAACCTCTCTGCGGGTTCTTTATGAAACTGAGCCAGTCCTGTCTAGAGTCACCGAGCAGGCTTGGAAGCGTCGGCGTGTCTCCGGGAAGTGTGCTGGTGTGACTGGCTGGCGCGGGGACGGCTGGCGAGTGCCGCCAGGCGCCTGGCAGGGCCTGGCCGTGTCTGCTCCTGGAACCGTGACTTCTGTTGCAGGTTGCCGTTTGAGGCGGCAGATGATCAAGACTTTGCTGTGGTACAAAACGCGATTGAAGACGTTATCTCAGAGCTGCAAAAACTGCCTGGATTGTCCTGTCTGGAGGAGGTGAGGGTGTGATGTCGTCACGTTGGTGGCAGAGTTTGTATGATGGGTTCTGAGTGGAAACCGGCAAGAAGTTGCTAAGCCTGAGCTTGCCCTGCTCTGTACTTTACAGAAAAAAATCTGCTCCAGCAGGTGTTCCGATGTGGAGTTGGTGTGGCCCTTTTGTTCTTTTCAATTTCAGTGATCTTAAAAGTGAATTTTCAGTTTTCAGATTGGAACTTTTTCAGTTTAATTAAAGATGTTTGAATCTTACAGCTTTCTTTTAAAAAAGATGTTTTCCTTTTGGTAGTCTTTCTGTAACTGAGGAAATTTTGCTCAGTACTTCCTGAGACTGAAATCAGCATTTAGTATTTACTATTTTGTGTTGATACAACACATTTACTTAAGCTGCCCTGTATTTACTAAAGGAAAGGCAGACGAAGACCAAGTAGTGTGCACCTGTGTAAGGAATGAAATGAGGTAATCTGTTACAGAATAACTCAGCAGTATTTGATTTTAACTGAGCCTAAAACTTGCATTTTAAACAAGTGTTTTCAGCATGACTTGAAACAAAGGTTTGAGGCTTTTGTTTTCCCCTGAGTTTTGCAAATTGTTGTAGCCACTGCAATTGAATTTGTGTGAAAATACGCTGCTGTGATATAGAAGGTAAGTGTAGAAGAGAAAGTTCACATGTACACTTATGTTTTCTTTATATAAATTATTATGAAGTTATTGTCATTATCTAGAGATGTTTTTCACTGTAAGCCAGTTATTTTTCAAGTTGGCTCTAATACAAGTTGTGTTTGGGATTCTTTCTTCCTTCTAGCTGAAGCTGATGCTGCCACCAGGGACTCCATCCAGCTCATTGACCGAGAGACTGCTGAGACAAAACGCAGAGCTGACGGGCTTTGTCAGCAGACTGAGTGAAGAGAAGAATAATTTGAGGAATGCTGTTATGAAGCTGGAGGAAGAGCTGAGAAGATACCAGCACAGGCAGCCTCCTGGAGACTATGTAAGTCTTCAGCGGTGCCGATATCATGATGTATAGACAGGCATAGAAGTGTCATTCCTTGTCCTGGTCGTTGACATGGGAGCAATCGAGCCATTGGTCTTTCTTGGCTTCCCTCTGCAGAGTAAATGGGCGTGAGTTATTCTTGTCCTGTGGTCAACATATGTCAAGCCACTCTGTTTACTATAGACCTCGAGGTTTCACCCAGCTTGTTTTTGTTAATTGCTCTGTTAAATCCCGTGTGCTTCTCTTTTTGATCTCTGTCTCACCATTGTAGTGAGTAGCAAATTGATTCACATAGCTTCGGGATCATGAAGCTTGTATGATCCGATGACGGGGATTTTTTCAGAAGAAATTATACTTTTCTTAGGATATTGATCAAGCTCCTAAGCTTACTGCTGCTGAGGTGTTAGGATGCAAGAGTGGCCTCAAATCCGATTCGTGGGTAGTTTTTCATTCGCCAGTTTTATGAGCTCTCCACCAAACCAATGACTAGAGTGACGCAGCTCAAACTTTTCCAAACTGTGTGGTTCAGTTTCTTTTGTCTTCAGTCTTCCAGACACTCGTCAGATGTTGGAGTTAATATTGATACTCTTGTTGCCTCTGAGAAGGAAATTTGGAACAGAGAAAAGCTGTCACTGCAGAAATCTTTGAAGCAAGCCGATGCGGAGCTCTCCAAGCTGAGAGCAGAGCTCAGGAGCGAAGCTTTCCTCAGAGAACTGGGATCAGATTCTGAAAATGCTGTTTTAAGGGTAGGAAGAGTTTGTTGCCCGTGTGCTAACTGCAGCTGCTTTTTTCATTTTGATCTGGCCCCCTTTTTCATTGTGTTCACTTTGCTTGCTCTTAAATAAACAAATACTTATTCAGTTTTAAAATTTTCATCCTTGGATACCTGCCTCTTAGCTTTTCTGCCTAAGAATGATACGTAAGCGCCTCTGTTGTCTTTTTACGTGTGCCCTATTTCTTACTGCTCAGGTGACACTCGAATTAGGAAGCTCCGTTCAGCAGTCTTTTGCACGATAGCAAGAAATGAATCATCACAGAAATGCTGTTGGAGTAGTGATGTCAGAAGTCTTAGACCTGCAATCATTCTTGGAGCTTATGGCACCTCTTTTTTCTTTTTTTTTTCTTGTTGTAGAGAATTTATGGCAAGTACTTACGAGCGGAGAGCTTTCGGAAAGCCCTCATATATCAGAAAAAATATTTGCTGCTGTTACTAGGCGGATTCCAGGAGTGTGAAGAGGCCACGCTGGCTCTCATTGCCCGCATGGGAGGGCAGCCATCCTACACAGACCTCGAGATCATCACGCATCACTCGAAGGGCTTCACGAGGTTTCGCTCTGCAGTCAGAGTGTCCATTGCGATTTCAAGGTAAACTGGAGGAGGTTAGATTTCAAACAGATACAACTCTGCAGTTTAATTTGTACTTTTCTAGCTCTCTAGTGGAATCTAGAACTTGTCATGTTCAATCCTGATTGAATTACAAGGTTTTGGTAGTTGTGAATATAGTAGATACTCTGTAGGTTGACAAATGTAGCAGCACATAGGTAAAATCTGTAATACAAATAAGCGATCTGAATGTAGTTGAGAAGGGCTTTCTGTGTGTGATAATCAACGATGGAGTATAGTGGATAAAGTCAAAATATTAGGAACAAATCTAGAAATTCTAGAGTATGTATTTATTTACAAAGTATGTATTTATTTTCTGCAATGTAATTTCCTTTTAAGGTTAAATCCTTACACTTAAGTATAGTACCAATTTATAAACTAATTTTATTGATCAAAGTAGTCCTTTGAATTCTCAAGACTTGAGGTTTCAGGCTGAGGATGAGTAGGAATAGGTGAGGAAGAGCAAGTGAAGGTTATTGCTGCGTGGTACTGACAGGTTGCTAGCAAACCTTCTTCACAAAGGTTTGAACCCCTAAATGCTTCTGCTCGCTGTTGATGTGAGTCTTTGGCGTAGCAGAAATTCAAGGAACTATTCTTATACCTGTTGTAGGTGAGGGTTTTACTTGTAGCCCTCTGCAGTTAGCATTTTCAGAAAGAGATGGGGCAAAAAGTGTATTTAGTATGGTTTCAGGATGCTGATGCCCTGTTGCTTAGGTGCTTGAGCCATTTGCTCTCCGCTTGGACTTGCGCAGCACCTCTGGAGTCACTGGAGTTGCAGAGGTGAAGCTGAAAGCAGATGTAGACAGAAGATGTTTTTCTTAGGGATGTGTAAGAGGATGTTTTCTACTTGATCTTCAGGTTTTAGATGCCCATCCCTTGATTTTACTTGGTGTTCAAGAAATTCTTATACTTTCTCAGATACAACAAGCAGATTTTTTGTAGCAGACTATTTTATTTATCCTAAAGTATTTATGTATTTCTTTATTTATTAATTTGAAATGCAGAATGAAGTTCCTGGTTCGTCGATGGCACAGAGTTACGGGTTCTAGTATACTGAGTATCAACAGGGATGTCTTTAACCAGAACACAGGTAAATCATAGTCCAGTAGTGACTGAGAAAATGGTATTCACAAGACAGACTCACCACTGCTTAGTGGAGATGGTTTTTAATTTGTATTGGTCTCATGTGGAATGGGTGGGGTGTTGTTCCCTCTTCCTTTTGCTGTAATTGCGTGGATTAACTTATTTCTTAGGTTTCTGAGAGTTTCCCTGCTCAGCACAGGCAGTAATTCATTTGCTTTCTCTTCAGTCTTGTTTTGCTCCATTGTGGGTGGAAATTAAAAGAAATCTGACAACTTTCCCTATGGATTCTCTTTTTGTAAAAATAATTTTAGCTGCATAACTGCGTTCCTCGTAAGAGATGTGCATCCCAGCGCTGAGAGGGGATCCTGAGGACTGGGGTGGACAGAGGAATCATACCAGCTACAGGACCCCACAGAGAATCGTAGTCCAGTATTGACCAGCCCTCCCTGGCCTTTTCTTCAGAACAGAAGCCTGTCCTTTTTTATAGCTTAAGGTTTTGGGAAATCTGTTTTTCTCTTTGCTTATTGGTAGGAGCCGAAGAAGAATCAGAAGCTTCTTTGTTAATTCCTGGCTGTCTAGGTCTGCACTAAACCCTTGTCCTGCTCAGTCTGTGATAGTTTCCTCGTGAACATCTGTGAGGCCAGGATTTCACCGCTGTTTTTCTTGGCAGCAGTCTGAAAGTGGTCTGGATTTGTTAACTGGCCTGTTTTGTGATACACAAACAGAAAACTCGCGTTTGAGTTTCCCAGTAAAGTGCAAAAGGTGTTGGTTTTCAGTTTTCAATACATTGCTTTTTTGTATTTCTAGGTAATGAATTACGGCCTGATTCATTCTCTGGTGGTGTGGATCTTTATGGAGAACAAAGACACTCTCATCGATCCAGGTCAGACATGGAGCCTCCTAGATGCTCTGTACATTTTCAACATAAGCGTATTTTTAGATTATTATTCTCTGTCAGAACAGTGTTTAACTAAATGAGTGCACCAGTGCTTACTGCTAAGGCTTATAATCTTTGATGCTGTAAGGTTTTTAAACTTTTTTTGTAAGGATACGTAACAAATGACATCTCAAGCCTTCAGTGCGTGTTTACTCATCATCTGATCAAGGCCAAAGCCTGCAGACTTTTCTTGTCTGATCTACGTCATGTTCTTGGAAACAGCACTAGATTGCTGGGTGGAGCTATGGTTTTCTACATCTGTCGAGCTGAGGCTTTGCCACCAAGTGAACCTGGCACCCACCAAGTGAACCTGGCCTCTGTTCTGGTCGGCAGCAGCGTGTGGTGTGAAGAGGGGCTGCCTCATATGCCCTGAGCCGAAGGACGGGAAAGGCAGGGTCACTGGCTGTGGCCAGGGAGGGTCAGCACATGGGCTGGAATTACTGCGGCCTCGTGGCCAGAGCACAGGTGGAAGCTGCTTGGTAGCTCCACTCCTAGTTCTCGTTTAAACCCTTTTGGTTGTCTATACTAAGCTGCGAGACCAGAATATCAGTAAATCAGGTATTTTTCATCAAAGGCAATGTTTTTGTGAGTGCTGTCGACCTTTGATGAACATACATGAAGTGGTGAGCTCAGATCTTTACTGAATATCAGGATCTAGCCACTTGGATTTTCATTGTTATATAAACCTCAGTGTTTGCAGTCTTAGATTGTGGAACTGTTAACTGTTTACATGGAAAAAATGTTTAGTCTATTTTAGCCACTTTTGACTTTTACTCACAGAGAGTAATGAAGAGAGACAGAATCCTGTAAAAAGGGCTGTGTCCTTGTCTGCACAAGCTTCTTAATAGAAAAGCAAACTTGAATCTACCCCAGCTTCTGCTGCAGTCTCAGTAGGAATTTGCTGGCGAGTCTGTGCTAAAGCAATGCAGCAACACATCATGTGCAGTAGCCAGAAACAGCAGCTAGGGTGAGTGGCAAGAGGCAGGGAGGCTGAACGGGCACCACACGCTGGCTGCCACGTGGGTAAGGTAAGGGACACGCAATCAGGGAGGAGTTTTGCTGTGCTGGTACTTTTCCTTGAAATTTCACTCTTTTTCTGCCCCTAGGTTCCACGGTCTGCACACCGATTTGAACCCCGTCTCTTTCGCCTGTTCTCAGCTGCAGAACTATGACCCTGAGCGAGCTTTAACAGATTACATCAACCGGCTGGAGGCCCTGCAGCGGCGGCTGGGCAGCGTGCAGTCAGGTGAGGGCTCGGGCCGCTCTGCCCGGCTCCTGGGCAGTGCAGGGCCAAGTTAGAAGGTGGATGCTGGTTCTCTTGGGTACCCAACAAATGCCTTTGACGTAGGCATTCTCAGCCTTAAACAAGAGGCTCTCCTGAGCTGTAGATAAAAGCGCATTAAAAAGAAAATTGCAGAATTCTCTGAGGGGAGACATGCAAGTGTGCTTGGATAACAGACTTTATCGGTAAGGCTTCAACTTTCCCAAGTCGCCAAGGAATGTGCAGCAAGGATTCGGTTGGCATTTTATTAAGGTGTTGAGCTAGATGGAGAAGAACGTACCTGGAACATTAACGAGTGGGACCACAAGGGGAATTTCTTTTCTCCTACAACTTTGCTTACAGAAGTTACAGCCTTTGTTGTCCCATAGATGATGGTAATTTTTTGTGCTGCTAGAGGAATACGTCAATAAAATTGTCAGACCAATGGGATGTGATTTATCAAACTCACTGTGTTAGTCTTATTTCAGCATAAAATCCATCATTTGAGGAAGTTGTGTTCTTGAAAGATTTCCCTTGTAAAAACCTTTCACGCTTAATGCAGCTGAACGACACGTCATTGGTGAACCCTCCCCTGCTTAACTCCAAGGAACGTTGATGAAAATCTTTTTCCATCTTACAGGTTCAACTTCATACACTCAGTTGCACGTGGGCATGAGAAGATAATGACACCCTTTCAGCATCCCCATCACTGGCAGTGATGTTAATGGATTGCCTTCTGTCAACCTGTGCTCTTGTATGATGTGGACATTGTGGGACCAACACAGCTGGACAACTGTCTGCAGTTCCATCCTGGCACACCTGCACAGACTGGGATTTATGTACATAGGCACTTCGTGATCATGCAGAATTAAAACAAAACAACAAACCAAAACCAAGCAAACAAACAAAAATAAATTACATGTATATTTGTGGAATGCTAATTTAAATGATTAACTTATGAGGCGTGTATTTATCAAAAGGGTGTGAAGATGAAAGTTGTGTATTAATGAAATTGAGCTACATTCAGCGAAGTTTACTTGCACTTTTCTGGCAAGGCTACTGAAGTTACGTGACTCTCGTAATATTTGCTACTGGCAGTGCAGACAGAATATCACTTGTAGAGACTTATTTTTGTAATGGTAGCAGTTTTGAATTTTATGGGTATTTTGTCAAAGTACTGAAATAAAGATGACTTCATGCTTTTAATTGTGTTCAAGAACCACTCCCTTACCCTGCACAGGTTCCTCCTACCTGTACTCCTCACTGTGGCTGCAGCTTTACTTTTTAGAGACTCCAAGGCACCACTACCTGTGAGAAGAGAGGACAGGGCCAAGCCCTGAAGACCCTGGGCATGTGGGACAGGGCTGGAAGGGCAGGTGCTGCACCCCTGCCGGGGCTGTGAGCAACACAAACACAAGGTTTCTGACAGTGACACCGGAGCCTGGGACAGGAGCGATGGAGCAAAGGCCCTTCCTACAGTGAGGCACTGACGGCGGCGGGGGTGTCTTTGCAGGCCTGGCTTTGTGCTTGCAACACAGAAAGTTTATTAGAAGTCTACCTGCAAAAGCTTTCCAGAATTGACAGGACTGAGCACAGAAAACTTCGACAAGAGGTTTGCTTTGAATTAAATTTATAAGCTCCTGTGAGCCAGGGCTCAATACCATTTCTCATCACCACTCTTGAACCAAATGCCATTTAACAATCCTGTATGAGTCAGTACAAAGGGGGACAACATTCAGCTACTTCATATATGTGACCACTTTATACACGAACATGTTATTTACAAAATTAATGGTAATTGCATCATATTGTTACTGTCACATCAAGCTTCCAGAGATCACTACTTTCAGAAAAGTATTCTTTGCTTTCTGAACCTCAGTATTTTACAGCTGCTTCAAGTTAGTAGACATTTAAATAATTTACTCTCAGAAAAACTTCTCTGTGAACATCTCACTGTCTGCCTACCACTCAGCTGTACAGTTACATTTTTTTCTTAAAATAATCAGCCAAGACCATACCTTGTTTGCTTGGAATAGAATCACAAATGTCAGAGGTGGGGCAGCAGAACATCCATTCCCCCGGTACCTGTTCTGCAATGGCTTTACCGTAATTGGCGACAGGGGTAAGGAACCCAGTCTTACCCCTTGTTTTCCAGGGAAAGGTAATCTTCAATTATTTTTCAAAAGCAGAGTTCTGTTTACAGAAATTACTTATTTCTTCACCTTAAAGAGCTGGCACGTGCCTTAAAACTGTTACCTCAATAGAAAAGACAGTTTTCTTTTAAAAACAACGCAACGAGAAAAATTGTAGAACAAGCAGTTATACTCAGCAACTTAAATGGTGTGGGCAAACAACGTGGGTGCCAAGACTTTGCATTTGGTATATTACTGTTGCTTTTGTAACGGTAGATGCAACAGTTTCTGTTTGCCACTCCTGTTGTCACAAATTTATTGAGAATTGTTACTTTACACAACTTAAGTAAGGTTTTAGCTCCACAACTTACGGTGACCTCCTCTTATATCTGATAATGGGGTTATTAGGGGTGTGTATCATTGTCGTATAATTTATAGTTGGAAAATAGTCATTGATGAGATCAAATTCATACAGACGAAGCAAAGTAGACCAGATAGTCTTTATCTGAACGTAAGCAAAGTTTTCTCCAATGCAGCGATGACGGCCTAGAAGGAAAGCCGTAAGACGCAGTTAAAACACATCCCCTTGGCCAACAAGTTAACTTCTATAAATTTTATGCAGACAGCGATTGCTGTGTTCTAAACAACATGAGCTTCTGATGCTGCATGTACACCCTTAAGGAACACCGTCCAAGTCTTGTTCCTGTAAGGTGTCCCTGCATAAAACAGAGCGAGTAATTTGAATGAGATCATGGTGTTTGTCCTCGCCACAAAGCACCAACATATGCATCACCAAAGCAGCGTGTACAGCAAGGAGAAATGATTGACTGGAATCACAGTGTGGCAATAGCTCCAAGCTCTTCTCGCAGTAATGACTGCAGATTTTTGCTCTGCCTTCATATTGCTTTTACCTTGCCTTGGAAAAAGTCAGTATCACCCATGCTAACCTGCAGATCTGGTTTGCTTGCTATTGTGATATATATAGCTACTACCGATGCACAACTATCAACAGTACTTTCACAGTAAGAAAACTTTCAGGCAGGACTTAAAAGAAAAATAAAAAGCTCCTCAGACACTACAGCATGTACAAGACAATCAGTACGAGCCAATTCATAATCCCTGAGGAAGGAGCTGTGTTTTCTTGCTTACCAGCGCCAAATGGAACGTATGCAAATTTCTCTCCAGCTGCCGGGTTATCTTGGAGATACCGATCAGGCTTGAAGTCTAGAGCATCCTTCCAGGAGTCCCTGAGTCTGTGGTTAACAGTGGGAGATACGCAGACCTGATGGCCAGGGGGGATATTATAGCCAGCAACGCTCTGTGAGAGAAGCGACAAGACCTCACACATCACAAAATTGCCACATTTTTCTTTTCAAAATGTTACCTGAAGTTCTGTATTGTGAGGCTTCAACTTGAAAAGAGACGTTGGCTAAGCTCATCAAAAATGAGTGCATAATATTTTATTGTTTGCCTTGTACAGGGTACAATGTTCAAGTGGTTGCAGGACTCGCTCAGCTGCTTTAACAAGGCTGGCAATTCTACAAAAAAGAGGTGTGGGTGGTTTTTTTTTTAAAAAAAAGTAACTTCAAATGCATTGACAGCATTTGTCATGGAAGGGACATTCATTTAAAAAAAAAAATTACTGGACTTGCTTGACTTTTCTCTCTTCTGTGTACAAACAGCAGGTTTTCTTTCAGATTCACCTAGCTTGTATTGTATTAAGTGCAAATCAAATTTTTCCAAGAAAGCTATTAAAAAATACCTGGCAAACGAGGTATTTTTAAATGGTAACACTCCATTAAGCTCAGGTGGGACTGATGACTAAAGGATAGGGTCAGTTTTGCTGAGTAAGCCTGTGCATGTCTGGCACTAGGTCCCCTCAGAGTCTTCCTGTATCCAGGCTGAACAAGCCCTGTTCCCTCAGTCTTTCCTCACAGCACAAGCGCTCCCACCACCGACCATCCTGGTTGCCCTCTGCTTGCTTCGCTTTATCAATATCTTCACTGCTGGAGGCCGAAGGGGTCCAAAACTGGACACAAAATTCCAAAGGAAGGTACCAACCAGCAGGCTCAAGGTATTAATTGCTTTCCTCAGTCAACACCAGCTACACTCCTACTGACATAACCTGGGCTGCTGTCGGCTCGAGCCCCTGCCAGCAAACGCTGCTCACTCCTGTTCTCCTTCTGCCAACAGGGACACTCCCCGGCCCAGCCTGTTCCAGCCCTGTGCTACTGAAGTGAGATGAGCTCCAGCAAGTGTACTCACCTGGGGAGTTTTGGCCATTCTCATCATGGTCATTATTGGCGGTCTAAGCCTTAAAGTTTCTTTTAGGCAACGATCCAGCAAACCGAGATCCTTGAGCTGAAAATACAGAGAAAGTGCTATAACAAAATATAGCGGTTTATTTAAGACCACTTAGAAACACTCTTTACAATATCAAAGAGTAAGAGCCTATAATTACATGTACTTCATTAGCTACCCTGATCATTTTTTTTCCATTTGGTTTAATTAAGAAGGGAAAAAAGTCTCAGACCAGTGCAATTAAATACAACTAGTCTGTTCCTAGTCCGATTTACAAGTGTTTTCTGATGCCTGAAGAACAGGGTCACACTGCATCCCTTTCCTCAGGGGGAATACAAGGATCTTACTCCTCTACAGAACTATAATTTCTTAAACAGACGTTGTAGGGAACTATAATTTCCTTAATAGTGATTAAAGAACAGTAGGAAGCTGAAAATTTACTTGGAGAGGAGATGGAGGATATATTCTGGCAAACAGTGTTATCACAGAGTGACTTGTGTCAGATTCTGACAGAAAGCACACGATTACATTTGTTTGCTGTTTGAGTTTTTTAATAAAAATAAGCATCTAAAACTGTAAAAACGCCCAGAAGGAATAACATCACATCCAAACCTGCTCGTAAGTTAACGGTGGCAAGTCATCCCCACAAACCGCTTTTTGTTCTGCGTAGCACTGGTCCTGCACCGACTTGTCCCTGGCCATGAAAAAGCCGAGCCAGGCGCTGGTGGTGGAGGACGTGTGCTGCCCTGCCAGGAGCAGCCCGATCAGCATCCCCGCGATTTCGTCATCTGTCAGCGGCCGGCCGTCCCTAGGACAAAGGGTGTTAGAGCTTCGTTTGATCCATTTTCCAGTTACAGCAGCATTTACAATTTCCTCTACTATACTTCTTTCTCCTTCTCCTCTTTTGCTCCTCCGTTTAGGGTAGGCAACAAAAGATCCAGGGAGAAGGGAGTAGAGGGGGAAAGTCTCTCCAGAACCTGAAAGGAAACCCTTAGCGAACAGTCAGCAAGGAGAAAGGAAGCAACCTCATGACCACTGATGGTTATTCAGATTTCTGAGGCTTTTTCATTTACAGGGGAAGTTTTTAAGCTGTTCTTAAGAATACAGCTAGGACCAATTCCTGGCAACAAAACCAATTCAGAACATGAGGGAATATTTCTTTCTTTTTTGGTAGACAATTTTAACTAAAGAGCTCGAAGCTAAAGTAAAACACCTATAAATGAAAAGTCTTCAAGCCCTTGGCTTACTTGTATGAAGCATCAAGTAGGGTTTGGAGCATGTCGTCCTCCTTTTCCCCAGACTTCCGACGTTTCTGGATAACCTTGTAGAAAATATTCTTTATTTCTTTGTGTGCTCGATCTCGACGTCTGCAATTCAAAACACTTCTATTAGTTACATTATACGAAGTAATACATAAAATGTTTGGGGAGGGGAACAAACTCACAATCAAGACATTTAGATAAAATAAAGTTGCTTCATCTGTTATTTCTGGTACCTGAAGCTTGGCAGAGGGAGCCAACCTGGCAGAAGCCAGGCAGCGTGAGTAAAACCTCCATCCAAATCAGCATAGAGCTGAGCCACCTTCGCATCCAGTAAGCTTCTTATTTCTTTCCCATGTAAGCAATGACTTGCTGTCAAAATGATAAGTTCTGAAAGGGCTTCAAACAGGTCTGAGGAAAGACGTGAAAATGTTACTAGAGATGCATTTCAGGCAAGATGTTTTACAGGTTATTCTTTATGTTGTAGAAGAGAAACTGGATGCAAATTATTTTAAAATATTTTAGATTGTTTTGCCAGGAGAACAAAACATCTGATTTCAAATTTCTGTGTGTCTATCAGGTCTCTCTTCAAACAACTTTTTAGTTAGATCACTGATTTCAACAACTTTTTTCTAAGGTGGTTTTTTTTTTCAGGAAATCTTTCTAGGAGACTTAGTAGTCCTTCCCTAGTAAGCCATGCAGCATGAGCTCAATCCTTGTTAAATACTAAAGAAGTCATTAAAAAACTTAACCCTGAAATCCAAATCCACAGGAAACCCATTTAGTTTTCATGCTCACTGAATTATTTTCCTAATAATTACGTAATTACTATAATAATCTTTATAGATGCAACATGGTGATATATAGTATCATGATTATATTATGTAAATATAGGAATTATGTACTTACAATATAAATTGTGGTAAAACATAAGGTCTATATTACATGCATATTATATATTAATATAATATAAATGATGAATATGTATGTTTAAATAACTAATATTTCTGATGGTGTTATGCCACTGTGGGCTTGCAGCAATAAGGATGGGCTACATCTAGCAGATTAGTTGGGCAGAGACAGGTGGGGAATAGCAGAATTCCCCTGGGGTCACTAACTTAACCGTATGAACTCGAAGGATGAGGTTCTTCCGTGCAGCAGATCCCTGAGTGAAAGGCTCTGGGAAGCCAGAACAGAACCTTTTCCCAAGGACTAACTGCTGGCTTCACTGAGCTGACTCGGATCATGCAAAACAAGTGCAGTTCAGCCAGGCAGCAGGGGCACTCTCCACTAGCTGACGAAGAAAGCAAAAGTATGAGAGTACTTCACTCCTGTCAATAATTTCCTGAGCAGCTTTAGTCTCCAATAGCCTAAAATTTGATTAAACTAAGCCTGTGTTTTGCATGTTTCTTTTGATGTTCTGCACAGTTTTACCTATGTCTTTATCACTTCTTAAATGCTGCAGTAAATCATTTACAAAAACACACTGTGTTGGCCTAGAAAACCTGAGGAAAAAGGCATGTGGTCGTACTCACTTTTTTCTCCACTCTCTCCCCATGCTTTGAAATACTCTTTTGTTTCTTCTTCAATCACAGACACATGCTGTTTAAACTGAGCAATATTTAGCCCAGTTTTGAGCATCTTCTTCTGTTCCAAAAATACCTAGAAGAACCAAGACAGAAAAAGTAATCAGTACAAGGATCATCATATTAATGTAATTAACAACTTAGCATCATTTCCACTGTACGAACACAGAGAAGTGAAAAAAAAAAAATTATTAGTATTGTAGGGTACAACAAATTTAAATAATAGATTATATTCCATTTTCACCTTGCTTTTCCTGCAGACATTTAGTAACAGCCAAGAAAATACTAGCTCAAGGGAGCCACAACTACCGCTTTTACAGTACCAAACCAAAAAATATCAGTATCTTTGTTAAGCTTTATCCCTGAAGATACAGGGAGCATTCAAGATTCAAATATGGAATGAACTTTAGATACGTAATCACAAACGTAATCAGCACTGTCCTTGCAAGGCCTGGATTCAGGCTGTGCCATTATGTGGCCTCCTTGCTTTCTCTCCCGCAGAGCTCTGTCTCAGCTGATGCAGTGATACCTTACCTCTGGTCCAGACATACACTTTTTTGTGGTTTTGTTTTGTTTTTTTGGTTGGTTTGGTTTTTTTCCACAAGGCCCTCACTGCCCAGGAGGTCAGACACAGAAGCACAGAAGAACACCCTTCTCACCTCTTCCTTTTTTTCCCTTTGTATTGGCTCACAGCTAACAAACCAACGGGTAAAAACCACATCACTAGATGGGAAGCATTCAGTGGACTGACAGGACATGCCAGCAAGATCACAGCCCTGCAGGAGCACCAGAGGACAATGTGAAGGATGAACTGAAGAAAATCATGTAATCTATCCACTCCAGCAGTTCCAAAAGGGATCCCTGACTCCATCCCGGACTTTAGGAAGCAGACCTCCAACCGTCAGAACTGGTAGAAACGACGTGAGAATGCCCCTACTTGTGGAAGAGGTCTCCTAGGACACAAGAAACCATCTCCTACTTGTTACCCAGGCTGCATCCTCCTGGTTTCATTCACAAAATGATGGAAGGAGCTACGCAAATCTGACAAGTGCAAAAAAACCCCACCACTCAAACCATCGTCCCCCCAACCTGGTGACACTATCCACTTCCTGAAGAAGCAGGAGACAACCAAGTTCTCCCTTACTTATTTAACAAAGTGACAAATTGTTGGCAGTCAGTTGTAGATGAGATTTCCAGAAGAAATCTGTAAGAACAACACACGTATTTGTGGCCACCGCAAAACGCTGTGAGAGAGACTGGTGATTACTGCCCCATAGCCACATAATTAGGAGGGCAAGAATCACCAAAAGTAGTGAATGAAGAGGAATGAAGAGGCATAGTAAGGAGAAAAAGTACTGATGGCAGCAGATACTATTACCAGTCAAATGACTGGCATCTATACAAAAAAAATGAAGCCAAAACTTTTCAGTATATCAAGTTTATATATATATGAAACAGATATATATTATATATAGGTATAAAGTATATATATCTTAAGTATCTCACAGTGCTGTTTCTGCCACCAGACTACTCTGCTGCACAACAAGTTGTCGATGTCAACATACACGGAATAACAAAGACCTCCCGGAGCAGGTCTGTCCACACAGAAGTTGGCTTCTGCAGCATAAGAGCCTGTCACACCAGACAACACGCACAAACAAGAAAGCTGCCGACGCCTATCTCGGGAACAACACCCCATGACACGGCTGCTGCCGTTCCAGACCCAGGCAGACTGTATTTTGAAACATACACAGGCTGATTTTTTCCCGAGCAAGACAAACCTAATGGTGCAAACTGTCAAATTAGTACTCCTGTGTCTAGATTTGGCATGGCACAAATGAAAATTGTCTCTCTTTAAAGGTCTCTCAGAAGGAAGCCCTAAAGTTGCTCATAATGGGCAAGTAAACTGCGCTCACCAGCATGCTGTAAGGGAGAGAAAAAGAGACTCGCTTATTAGTTTTTTCCTCTATGGTGGGAGTAAATGGTTTCAAGGACAAAAAATAGCATCCACACTGATGAATGGCCAGGTGCTAAATAAAGCAACCTAAGCAACTTCAATCTTGATTATCCAACAGACAATTTACCTGCAATATGCTAGAGCTGTGTGTGAACACACAACCCCTGAGCCAAGAGCTCAGGGCTGCCTGCTCAGAATTTCAATTACACTACTTTCCTACCAATATTTAAAATACATACCATATTAGGGACATCATAAGCAACTCCCTTGCCAAAAACTGGTGTAGTTAACCGAGCGTACACATCCTCTGCATTCAAATCTTCATTTTTACTATTGAAGAGTAGAGCAGCAGCATCACTACCCAATAAGTATGTGAACGTCTTGCCAACCATAGTGAAACTGAACACAGGTCCATACTAAGATAAAAGAAAAACAAAGCAACCACAAATCTTTAAATCCATATCTCTTTATGTACCGGCTTGCATAAATTGCTCTCCCAAGAAGGGTCTAGAAATTTAATAAAGATATAAAAGTATTTAAAACTATGTTTTAATTCTGTTCTCAATATACTTACCAGTGATACCTAACATTACAACAAACATAAAGGATCTTATATACATTTTAAAACTATGTAGCTTAAAAAAATGTACATGAAAGATCAATTGCAGTACAAAAACCAGCAGGGAGATTACAGCACATAGAACCTCCAGTCACGTACAAACATCGCCTCAAAAAATTCTGGATTTGGAGTTATGCGTAGGTAATTAGGAACAAATAAGATTTTAAAGTTTAAGTTCATTTGGGGCAGTAAATGCGAAGGAACTCTTTCAGTGTGAGGGTGGCCAGACTCTGGCACAGATTGCCCAGAGAGGCTGTGGCTGCCCCCTCCCTGGAGATGTTCAAGGCCAGGTTGGATGAGCCCTGAGCAACCTGGGCTGGGTAAGGGCGTCCCTGCCCATGGTAAGGGTTGGGTTAGATGATCTCTGAGGTCCCTGCCAACCTAAGACAGTCTAGGATTCTATGAACAGATTTTAATTAGGTTGCAGGTAGAGAACTTAGTAGATACATAAAAATACTTCAGCACGTGCCCAGCCAGCCATGTGGGAAAACATACCTTGTCATAAGCATTTTCCAAAAATTCAATGGGACTTTTTCCAAATGCAATTGCATGTCCAAGGAAAGGGATGCCTGATGAAATGTAGGGTGGGTATTTCTGAGGAAGAAAGAGCAAAGCAAATATGGACTTGTCTTCAGGGAACAGTATGTCCGTTTACATAAAAACTAAACGCAAGAAGAGGCTCTACAAGTGTTTTGGTTACACTCTTTTGTGAGAAGGCCAGCTCTGGGCCACCGATTTGGTTTCAGAGAGAGCAGAGCAAGGGTGAGCCACACTTCGCAGCAGCAGGGGTTAAAATCAAACACCTGC